AACCAAACACTATATTTTAGAAGAACCCGAACACGAAATCATAGTACTATCTAGATTCTCGACCTCAATTTCAAATTCTAAGCTAAGCCTTATTGACTTATAATAAAGATATTTTTGAAGTCATAGAATCTTCTGGTATCCTTTAATTACCAAAACACCCAAACTTTATTTTCTCTTATAAAAATTTTCACCTAGAATCATATAAAATTGTAGTTATAATATTTGAATTATATTTTGGTATTTATTGAGAATCATGTGTAAGCTGTTACTATATGAACAGGTTGGATGAATGCGAATATTCATAGGGACAAAATAATTAAACCTAATGTGATAAAGAGGTCCCAAAACAGAAATAGAAAATTTGAGTGTTCAACACTATTGTCATTTCAATTAAGTCACGCCACCATCATTTGGAATTCATCTCTCTGGTCTTTTAAACACCACACATGCACCTCATACTCATTTTAGAATTTATATTAACGAACTCGATCGATGCATTTATGACAAATATTTCCTAATTTGTAATTGTTATTAACTAAACTTTGTTTTTCAATAAGTTACTCATATTATAATGGTCTTTTTCTCCTATTTTGCAAATCACAAGCTTTTTGAATCATATCATAGTTGCATGCAAAGCAGTAGGCCTCCAGCATCATGATTTGTTAATTTCTTGGTTGATTTGCTTACAGAATCTCAATAAAACTGTCAAGTCAATGCAAAATATTTTAAATGAAAAACAATTAAAGTTTGTGATTAATTATGAAAATTACTTCAGTCTATAAAAAAATTCGGTCATAGAAATTCAATTAACCAATTCTCATAGTCAGATTGGAGTAGACTAATTCTTTAGTAAATTAAAATTCAGATATTCCAAAACTATATGGAAGGTACTATGAGTCTATGATTTCTACTATAACAAAATTGCAAAAATAAAATATCAGTCAAAATTCACTTAGTTAAAATCTCACGCAAAAGAAAACTAATCATTGCCAACACTACATCAGATTTTGTACTTGGCCTGTTAAGAGAAACTAATCGTGGCTAAAGTTCAAGATATAACCACATTGTCCCTCATATAAAATCTGGAAACTGGATTTGGAAAGCTAATTAGCCATAGACTTACTAAACCTCTAGCCTCAGCTTACCAACCTCTAGCCATTAGCCATAGACTTACTAAAACTAGCCAAGCACATATTAAAATTGAAAAACCAAATAAATAAGGTTCTTTCTCTCAAAGAATCACATCCAAAAATCGCATTCCATATTTTTAAGCGTGATTACCAACATTAGATGCAAGACGGAAAGGAAATTTTATTGACAAGATAGAAAATAAGGTGATGAAATACAAAAAAAATACAATATTCCAAAAATCTAAGCAAAAAGGAACTTTTTCAATGGATATAGTTGAAATTCATTGAAAGCATATAGATAAGTCAATATACAAAATTTGAGAAAGATTGGAGATGATTTGGACTGGTTTTATATCAAAATTCGTAATTAAATCGAGTTCAAAAATTCTTCTATGATACATGTATCACACATGTATCTCACACGCATGTATACATGGATATACATGTGATACACAATTGATATAAATATGATACATATGTGATATACAATGTGATATACATATTATTATTTTTCATGTTCATTTTTTACTTCGAATTTTCAATTCAAACCACCTCAAAACTTCACCAAATCATTCCAAAATTGAAATTCAAACTTCTTAAGATGTACCCAGTATGTTCTAACAACACCCACTCAAAAGAAAGCAAAAATTTAATTATTTTTTGCTACAAATAGCTAATTCGCTAAGGAATTTTTATATTCTTATACACTATATGAAACTATATTATCCTCCCTACTCAAGTTTCACTTCAATTACCTCCTATATACAAAATTACCAATTATGTACATTTTTAGGATTTAAGGATAATTAATCAATTCCTATAGTCACTCCACTCCCCCCACGTTTCTCTCTCTTTATCTCACTCCCCACACGTTTCTCTCTCCACATCCTACCCCCCTCCCCACGTATCTTGCACAAAAGAGCAGCAATTCCATCGTTGATAGCCATTAAAAAACTTTGAAACTTTGAATTCGAATTTGGGTTTTCAAAAAATATTATTTGTTTGAATTGGATGTTGTTGCAAAGAATTAAGAATTCTCTCTACGTCTCTCTCTATCCCTCAATCCCTAATTTCAGTAATGTAAAGCAAAGGAAACGAGAGTAGCAATTCTACAATTGACCACCATTAAAAAGCTTTGAAGCTTTGAATTCGAATTTGGGTTTTCAAAAATTATTATTTGTTTGGATTGAGTGTTGTTGCAAACAATTGGGAATATGGTTTGGAGTTTATATCTCAATTTTGAGGGGTTTTGGTGAAGATTAGACTTGATTTTTGCTGAATTTCAGATTGAAACTCGAAGAAGACGAAGAAGACATGATATACATTATATTTACGAAATTGTAGTAAAATTGTAGAAAAATTGTATTCTGTTGTTTATATATTTTTCTTTTATTTATTTAACTATTGTATGAAAGTTGAACAACATTGTATAAAAATTATATTTAAGTTGTATGATATTGTAATTGTATATAACTAAGTAGAAATAATGTATGAAAATTGTAGATAAGTTGTATAATATATAATTAGTTGTATGAAATTTATTTTTACTATGTATAAATCAGATACCAAATATACAAAAGACATATTGTATAAATTTTGTACAAAATTTGTATTTAAGTTGTATGTTATTGTAGTTGTATTTAACTAGGTAAAAATAATGTGTGAAAGTTGTGGATACGTTGTAATAAATTGTACAATATATAATTACAACAACAACAACCCAGTATAATCCCACTTAGTGGGGTCTGGGGAGTATAGTGTGTACGCAGACCTTACCCCTACCCTAGGGTAGAGAGACTGTTTCCAAATAGACCCCCGGCATCCTTCCCTCCAAGAACTTCCCACCTTGCTCTTGGGGAGACTCGAACTCACAACCTCTCGGTTGGAAGTGGGCGTTGCTTACCATCAGAGCAACCCCTCTTGTCAATATATAATTAGTTGTATGAAATTTATTTTTACTATGTATAAATCAGATACATAATATACAAATGATATTGATAAATCTTATATAAAATTTGCATTTAAGATTCTAATATGCCCATGTCTTCATTAGGGAGGAAGAAGAGGTTGTTTTGTCTACATTTACAGCTTCTCTCATCTCAAGTTCCGACACAAGAGTCTCTTTTATTGAATCTTTCAGATTGATTCTGTTAATCCTAACAAGTAACTACTTAAAAGGCTGCTTTCCTAGTTAACTTCATTTGTAAAATTTGAGAACCTAGTGATCATTTATTTTGGCACACCTTGATTTCCAGATTGTTTCATGTTATTTTTTGTTACTCTACAACTCTACTCTCTAAGACAACTTGTCATGGACATTGCAAAAGTATTTTTGTGGCTGATGGTTGTTTGTGTAATCTTATTCGCTTCTTATTGATCTGCTGGAAAATTCCAAATTAAACTCGAATGTGGAAATGTGTATTCTGCTCTTACACAATTATCCTCATTTCTCTGAGTTACGGAAAAAAATGCAATTATTCTTTTGAGAGGAAGAGGGGTACATCTCTATCAATAAAGTAGAAATTGTTAAAGAATTACAAGAGCTGAATTTGCAAAGGAATATGTTGTGGTAAACAATTGACGAGCACTGCCGATGATTGGAGAAAAATAAGGAAAGAGAAGAAGAGAGAGAGAGAGAGAGAAAAAAAGGAAAATGGTGTAATTAAATCCCTTGATTGAAGGCACAAATAATGGATTTGGGAGCCTTTTAAGGTGGATTATATATATCTTATAAACAAAACTTGTATATGCCAAGTAATTAGCTAAACATGGACATTAAGGGTAATAAAGTTTCAAATAGTTTATAGGAATGAAAAAATCTCATTGGCTAATATTAGTAATATTTTATGAATTGACCAATTTTTGCAATGAGCTACTTATAAATGGACATAGCTGGTAGGTTCCCAATAAATTTCTCTTGATAGAATAAGTACTGCTGGCCCACAAAAGTTTTGTATTCACTGCAACAATTGCTTCAGCAAAATAGCCATTGAAGCCCAAAAGATGACTTGTTCTACAGAAAGCCCAACAAATAAATGTACACTGGGATCTTTACGCAAATAGCCAATGGGATTCATTGTTTATTTTTTTAGTCAATATATATAAATTATACATTGCTTATACATGATTACATATATATTATATATGAATTATATATATGTTATACATCTACGGTCTATTTTTAGTTTAGTCGATTAGATTCGCAGCTATTTAGGTTAATTCTTTGACATTATTTTTATTTTACATTTTTTAAGATCCAGCCTCTCAAAATTAAAAAAAGTTCACGGAAAAGAAAATTTAAACCATTAATAGCTTGTTTGGCTAAGCTTCTTTTTGACCAAAAATATTTTTTTTTTTTTTTGCCAAAAGCACCTTTGGCCAAAAATTAAGGTGTTTGACCAAGCTTTTAGAAGGAAAAAAAGTGCTTTTGAGGAGAAACAGAAGCAGTTTTGGAGAAGCAGAAAAAAGTAACTTCTCTCCAAAAGCACTTTTTTGAGAATGAACTTTTGAGAAAAATACACTTAGAAGCAATTTTTTAAAGCTTGACCTAACACTAATTGATGCTCAAAAGTATTTTTCCAACTAATTAGCCAAGCACAAACTGTTTCTCACCAAAAGTACTTTTGAGAAAATCACTTATCAAAATAAGCTGATTTTTGCAGCTTGGTCAAACGGGCTATAAATCTATATTCTCTCATTGTGCTTAGGAATGTACGACTTCGATAATGCTAGGAGAAATTATTTTAAAGAAACGGAAGTGTTTTGTGGCAATACTTATTATATTCCTTCTCTATCATCATATTTTAGCCCTTACTAAAGAGTGATTATAAGCAAAAGTGTATAAAATGCGTATATAATTAGAGACAAACAGATACAACTGCACAAGTTTTAAGTTATAGGGGCCAAGTCTACACTCTACAAAACCAAAAAAAGAATAAAAAAAAAGAAAAGAAAAAAGAGAGTAAAAGTACAACACCTACCAACGGGAAAGTAAACGTACAACTTTTACGCTATAACCCTCTTCCTTTGTCCGGTAAGGACAAACACAGCAAAAGAATGAACAAGAATAATCACATCCACAACAAGAACATTATTTCTAAAAGCGAAAAGAACAAAAAAAAAAAAAGCTCATGTGGTTCAAAGAGAAAACTGAAGCACATATTTAAAGAAAGCTAAAAAGTATTTAACAAATGAAACTAGCCTACAATACTCAAAATTGCAAGCAAACCAATTATTTTCAGTATCTTATACTATGCAATAATGTTGACATTAATCCAACTTCTCAAAGTTGAGATTCAAAGCACCGATCACTTTTCGTTTGATGACTTTGCGCGTCATTGTTTAAAGCACACATTTCTCCAAAGCGCATGGCTTCACTCATTTGCTTTGCATCACTTCAAACAATAACACTGGGCAACAATGGAAAAGAAAATTCGACCAAAGGAACTGACAAGGAATGGCCAAGAGAGAGGGAGACAAGAAATTTCGTGTGACTGTTAGTACTTTAAAAAGATAAGACACCAATCCCTAAGAACATCTTAAGCAGGAGTAAGAATATAACAAATTTGTTTTCTTCATTTTATCTTTTTGCTTTTTTTATCCCCTCGAGACTGATTCCGGATGATCTTAGTTAATAATCAGGAGGATCCAATTATATTTTGTCAACGTTCAAGATCCTATTCTGTGGTTGAATGAATCTGCCTAAAAGCCACAGGAAATAAGACAGAGAAGCAGCAACCATTAACAGGGCCAAAGAGAAGACAAGTTACCCCAATTGCAATTCCAAGCAAGCCACAGGATCAGTCTTCTCTTTTGATAAAATGAGCAGTCAAGAGCTTTGTAACTGTGAAGCCATGGAAGGAATCAACTTGAAATAGTTCTTTTAACCTTTCATCGCAGATTATTGTCTTCTTATCAGATGGATCCTGGAAAAAGATAAGCACACACTATCAAGCCCTGAGATTGGTCAATTTTTTACCATGTTTCAAAACCTGCTACATATGCCCAGCATACAGCCAATAACTGCTGAAACACCACCACCAATAGATGTAACTATAGCAACTAATCAGTCATGGTATTCATATCTCAAATAGAAGTCATCAGATGGACCTCTTTATTTTTTAAGATAAGATACAACAACTACGTCTCAGTCCCAAACATGTTGGGGTCGCCTATATGAATTTTCACTAACCATGTTACTCCAAATGAATTCATGTCAGGCCGATATCATACAAAATAGCAAGGCCAAATACATATACAGCCCATCCAACTTGGCATCATTTTTCATTTTAGCACTCTATCTCTACCTTGTTCCATTTTGGCCCTCCAACTCTATTTCTTATGTTCCACTTTAACATAAAAGCTGAAACCAATGCAAAAAATATAGCCCGTTAAATCTGAGGTGTAATAAATATCCAATTAAATGTTGCCACCTGATTTTTTCATCCATGTCAAACGGGTCAATATTAAAATACCTGAGCCCGATTGTATTTTTTCATCCATTGTTGCCACTTGCCCAACTTCATTCTCTAAGTTCCAAAGCTTTCATCTGTCGATTTCATACCTGGACCGTTTAGATGAAATAAACCCACAAAAAATAGGGCCGGGTTCAGGTATTTTACTATTGACCCGTCTGACATGGATGAAAAAACCAGGTGGCAACATTTAATTGGATATTTATTACACCTCATATTTAACGGGCTATATTTTTTGCACCGGTTTCAGCTTTTGTGGTAAAGTGGAACATAAGAAATAGAGTTGAAGCGCCAAAATGGAACATATAAAATAGAGTTGGAGGGCCAAAATGGAACAAGGTAGAGATAGAGTGCCAAAATAAAAAATGGTGCCAAGTTGGATGGGTTGTATATGTATTTGGCCAAATAGCAATAATAATACTCTAGTACGTATTAATCACTCTGAACAGATAACATAAAGAGCTACTAGACATTGCCAAAAGACATCCCAATATTTCATTACATGGAATCTTCATTCACCCAGATATACCATAGAAAAGATTTCACTACCAGGATTATTGTCACTTAAATTTAGCTAATAATATCATCCAATTATAATAGCTGCAATGACAACGCTACCTAGTTATAAGCTTAAAGATGGTGAAGTAAGTGAGCAGAAAATGCAACAAACCTGCAGCTCATTTTCTTTTATATACTGCCATATTCGCTTGATAACATCAGCTCGAGTTAATGCATTTTCACCAATACCAAAGAATTTTACAAGGGCATCTGATAACCGAACTGGAGCAAGAAAACCAGATCCTCCCCCTTTGTGCCTTTTCTCTTTCTGCTTTGGCTCATCTAAAGCTGGTTAATTGAGAGTCGTAGATGTGGTTTAGCAAAATGCTGAATATGTCATTAGTTGGAGTAAAGCTGAAGCAAAGGCTTCACTGTACTGCAAGTGACCTAGATAAAGTGCGTAAGACTTTATGGAATCAAAGCCTATTACTTGCTGGACTTCGACCAATTTATTCTCACCTTCTTCTCTTCCTTGTTTCGGTAGCCTTTTCTTCACAGAGGATTTGACTTGACTGGCTGCATGAGTCAAAGGAAAAGATCCTGAATATACAAAAGATTTCAAAACTTCACAAGCACATCCACTAAGTTGAGTTCTGAGTCTTATAGATATGATAGGTCAAGCCACAAGTAACTTTGAAGTCACTACCGTAACTTATGTGATGTCAAACAATTTTACAGAATAAAGCATGCAAGTCGGAAACTATTGCTTCAAGAACCAAAAGCGACTGGCCGTAGACACAGTACTCTTCTGCAATCATTTTAGTACCTAAAAATGATAACCAGAATAACTACAACAATACCATGATGATGAGAAATGGCTCCTATTGCAAAATATTAAATTACAAATTGAAATTGTCAAAACGAAAGTAATAATACCATCTTCCTCATCTATGGGCCAAATGTGCTTGGATAGCACCTTGTTCATCTGGAACATGTCGATTGTTTTGGCCCGGAAAATTTCACTCAAAACTTCATCACATAAAATTTTCCGCTTGTTCTGTGGGTTTTGTAAATTCTTCTCCCGGATATAGGCCCAAATCTTCTTAACAACCTACTAACCAAGAGACATCACAAGGTAAGGATCACAAGGTATACAGGAAATTAGATCGACCACAAGGTAAGGATCATAACAACATGTCATACAAGTTAAGCATCACCTCTGGTCTGCCCAGTTCGGACTCGCCAACCAATTTCTGAAGCTGTGGTGAAAGTGCGCATGGCTTGTTAAAGCCCCCTTTTTTCTTTGCTTCTCCATTCATTTTCTCAGACCTACTTAAAAGATTAAAATACAGTTCAGCGTGAACAACATTAGACAAAACACAGAGCACGATTTAAAAGTGGGTGATCAAAAGTAAGCCCGGAATAAGCCTTCTGCTCCTATGATAGCTTTACTATATCACATGTATTTGCTGATACTTGCGAGAATTATCAGTAAACGATAGCATCTATATTATGCACTAGCATACAAATTGTTGTCTAAATTTTTTTTTTCTCACTTCTACTATCTACAAAATGTCTGCCCACAACATGATAGAATGCATCGAACAAGTTATTCATGCCAGAATACAAATTCTATTCAACATAATGAGAAGGATTATTGATAAATCAATCAAGCAACTAAACTACAACCTCAAACTAGTTGGCTCGGTTATACTAATCATCTAAACACATTTCCCTCAATTCGGACCCATTTAATTCCATTAGTAGATAATTTATCTTCCAAGGCAAATTAAGGGTCTTAAAAACTAGAGATTCTGTAAATCTCACACTTATTACCCTGACGTACAAGTCTTTAACCAGTCTAGAAAGACTCTTGGCAATGCCGGACCTAAGTGTAACAACAAAGATTAAGCATTAATCCCAACAAAGATTATGCAAAGAAAAACATACCGAGCTTTCTCCTTTGCCCCTGTATCAGTCTCATTCTCTTCTTCTTGGGAGCAAGAATCATCATTTTCCTCTTCCTTCACATTCTCTGTTTCTTGTTCTTGTTCTACTTCTTGTACGTCGTCGTTCGGGGTTTCCTCAACATGGGTTCGAAGGAAAAGGTCAATTTGGTCTCTGATAAAGGCTTTTCTGTCATTTAAGTCAACCCCGAATTCCTCCTCAAGCTTCCGACGAACACTGCCGGCGGTGGTAGTTTCAAGGTCGGAAACTTTGAGAATTTCCCGGAGCCGATCAACCAATACGGAATCCGACACCATTGTTGGGGTAAAAATGGAAAGCTACTAGTGTTTGTGGTAGCCTTGGGTTTGCATGGACTAGAGATAAAGTAAACCTAGTTTTTATGAGAAACTGAGTTGAGTTCAACGCTTCTGAAGAAAAACAAAAGACTCTGAACCAGTTGCCAAACTATAGGAAAATAGTACAACTCCAAAACTCTTTTCCCCCTTTCCTTCTTTTTGCGTCTCTCTCTTGTTTTGTTTTTATTTTAGATTTTTTTTTCCTCCTTTTCTTTTGTGTTTAAAAAACTACTAATGGGGAACCTTACAATTAAAAAATAGAAGTGGCCTTGTAAATTAAATTAGTTGTTTTATATTGAGAACTTAGTGGTCAAGCGATCATAGTATCCATGTCACAATTATTTTTGTTTTGTTTTAATCTCATAAATTCAATTTCATTTTCCTCTTAGTCATTTTCCTTTCAGCGTAACTATAGATAACAACTAACCAGATACTTGTGAAGTCACCACCTGGCATTAAAAAATATGCCAAATGTTGAAGTTCAACATGCTTTCTTCTCCTCTTAAAATAGTTTTGTTTTTTGTAACATTTTCGTTTACTCTTTTCTCTTCTTGCTAAACTCATTTTTTTGATCTATTGTTTTGGCTATAATAACTTTCAGTGTAGGATTTCTAATGTCATGACGTAAAGTTTTAGAGTTCAAGACTTTTCGAAGATTGTTGTATTTCACTTGCAAGAATGCCTATACTTTGCAAGAGCAATTAGTTATTATCGTGGGTGCTAAGAAGAGTGGGAATGAATGATAAAGATGGCGAAACCTTATCCCATAAAATTCATGATCCATTGTTTTTAGGGCTTCAAATCATGGGTGTGGCTGACTCGGCCTACATTGTAGTTGATCAGACTAAGGCCTTAATTGCTTTTTTTAATATTAAGACGGTCTGAATTTGAATACACATTTGAATATCAAGATGCGTATTAAGATTAAAACATCTGAATCTGAATACACATCTGAATATATTAGTATGTGTATTAAGATCTGAATACTAAATAATTAAGACTGTTTGATTTTTAATATCTGAATGTATAAAATTTATCTTTGTTTGAAAATTAATAAACATAAAATTCAAATGAAATACTAACTAACCTAATATTCTATGAATAAAATATATAGTTTTTTAAAATATGATAGTTGTTGGTGGTGATGGCTAATAGATGAATGCCGACTAGAGGCGGTGGTTGGTGGTAGTTTTGGTTGATGATGGTGGTTCATGCTAGTAGCTAGTAGTGATTGGTAGTGGTGGTGATTATGATTGAGGATGCTGGTGGTGATAGTTAATAATGGCGGGTGGTGGTAGTAATTTTGACTGAGGAAGGTGGTGGGTGGGTGGTGGTAGGTTATAATGATGGGCAGTGTCGGCTGTGGTTGTTGATGGTAGTGGGGTGGTCAGTTGTGGTAGATGATGCAGATGAGTGTTGATTGTGGATGAGAACTGGTCGAAGTAGTGGGGATAGTTGGTGGTGATGGTCGATAATGGTGGCGGCTATCATCGAGGATGATGGTGGCGTGGTGGAGGTGGGGGTGGTGGGGTTAGTGGAGTATGGTAGTGGGAGCGGCATGGTGGTAGTTGATAATGGTAGGCACTGATGGCAATTATTAATGAATATGTGATAGCATCTTAATGAAATTAAGTCTCTATTATAGATCTTAATCATACAGATCTATTCAGACCCATTAAGTGGCTGTGAAGTAAAAAAAACAAATACACTTAATGATTAAGATCTGAATAATTAAGATTCAGACTTTAAAAACAAACACACTTAATTTCTGAGATCTGAATGATTAAGATTCAGACCTCCATTAAGTGCAAACAAACGAGGCCTAAATGGCGCGTCGAACTATGATGGTGCATTAGGTTGCACCTATACGTTGAGTCGTGCGAGTCCGAAACTGAAATAGTGCCATTTTTGGAACAAAATACGTTTCTACTGTTTTTCAAAAAAAGTTACATTTCTACATAAAACGCAGTATTACTTTAACGGAAAGTTAGCCGTTAAAGTTAAACGCAGAATTATACTGCATTTTATTAAAAATTAATTTTTGATAAGAAAGCGCATGACAATACTTCGTTTTCCTTAAACGATGTATTGTACTGCGTTTCCCTATAAAATTTGGGCCCACCTTAATAAAGTTCTGCAGGACTGCAGAGAATATTTATTTTTTTAGTGTAAAACATACTATAATACTGCGTTTTACACTGAAACGTATTTTTATACTGCGTTTTACACTAATTTTTGGGCCCACCAATAAGTGTTCTACGGATAACTGACATAATAATAATTCAAATACATAAAATGTGGTATTGTACTGCATTTTACAAAAAAAAAATTGCACCCCAAACTCGGACTTGCCTTATTTAAAGGCGTTTGAATTTTATGAAAATTCATTCAAAACTTTCTTTCAAACTTCCGTTCATACTTCTCTCTTCTTCTTATCAATCATTTTTTATAATGTCTGAAGAGCCAAAAATAAGGGTTTCATTATATTGG